CATCAGTGCAACATTGACACATTCTTCTTCTGATTCAGAAGATGATTCAGATTCATCTGAGTCATCCCATGTTGCCATCAGAACCTTCTTCTTTGTGTCAACCTTCTTCTTAGGTTTTTTTCTTTGAAGTTTGGGGCAATCATTCTTATAATGCCCAGGTTCTTTGCACTCATAACATACAACTTCTTTCTTGCCAGATCTTCTGTGCCCAGAAGATTCCTTTCTATGATCAGATTTTCTAAAGTTGTTGAACTTCTTTCCCTTGTGCTTCCAGAGTCTGTTGATCCTTCTGGACAACATGGATAATTCATCTTCTTCTTCAGAAGAAGATTCTTCAGAGCTTTCTTCAATAACCTGCAAAGCTTTAGCAGATTTATTAGATTTTAAAGCAACAGATTTACCTTTTTCTTTCTGAGGTTCATCTTCCTCAAGCTCAATTTCATGGCTCCTCAGTGAGCTGATGAGTTCTTCTAAAGAGATCTTGTTCAGATCTTTAGCCATCTTTAAGGCAGTCACCATTGGTCTCCATCTGGTAGGTAGACTTCTGATGATTTTCTTTACATGATCTGATGTAGAGTATCCCTTGTCCAGAACCTTTAGACCAGCTGTAAGGATCTAGAATCTAGAAAACATAGTTTCTATATTTTCAGATTCTTCCATTTTGAACGCTTCATACTTCTGTATAAGCGCTAGAGCCTTGGTCTCCTTCACTTGAGAATTTCCTTCATGAGTCATTTTAAGTGACTCAAACATTCCATGAGCTGTTTCTCTGTTAGTAATCTTTTCATACTCAGTATGAGAGATTGCATTAAGCAATATTGTCCTAGCCTTATGGTGATTTTTGAAATCCTTCTTCTGGGCTTCTATCATTGATTTTCTGTCAACTTTCTTGCCATCCTCATTTGTAGGATGTTCATAGCCATCAATAACCAAGTCCCACAAATCAGCATCATACCCCAGGAAGAAACTTTCTATCCTGTCCTTCCAGTAATCAAAATTTTCTCCATCAAACATGGGAGGCTTTGTGCTGATTCTATCCCCTTCATATTTGTTACAGTTGGATGTAGATGTGTCACCCATAATGACAAACAGATATTTATCAAAGTAACTTTTCTCACTGGATCTTTACTGACACGGTTAAGTGGTAGCACACGCAGAACCGGAGCTCTGATGCCAACTGAAGGTGAGAAAATTACTTAGAAGGGGGGGGGGTTGAATAAGTATGACAAATAATCAAAGATTTAAACACAGTTATTTTTATCCTGGTTCGTTGAACTCAACTACTCCAGTCCACCCTCTCAAGAGTGATTTGCCTTTCTCAGTCAAGGACTTAATCCACTATTTAATCAAACAGATTACAATAGTAACACCTAAGAACAACTGTTCTTAGTCTTCTCAAGAGCTACTGATCCCAACTGGATCCTCTTAAGGAAAACCTTTTACAATCAATGTAAAACTATTACAAGAGTAAGAATGCTTCTAAGAAGCTGTTATCACAACTGTGATATTTCTCTTAAGTTTAAGAACAATGTTACAGCAAAATAAAATATAAGAGCTTTGAGATATTTGCTTTTGATAAGTGATTTTTGCAAGTAGTTCGTTACTGAAGAAGATGGAGTGGACTTCTTTATATAGGCACATAGATCCATGAAGTCTTCTCAACGTTGAAGACTGTGCTGAAAAGCCTGGAGCCTTTTGTCTTTACATTGGAGGTTGTGCTGAAAAAGCCTGATGCCTTTTGTCTTCACTTTGCAGAAACTTTTCTTAGAATGGAATGCACAGATAAAACATTTTTGTCTGTGTTCTTGTGTCTAGCACAAAAGAGGAAAAAGCTGTTGAGATATGCCAACGTACATATTCAAATCTTCTTCACTAAGTAAGTTCAGCTATCAACATTAGAGTCTGGATCTTCAGAATCTCCAGAGTAGAGATCTTCTGGATCATCAGAGTCTTGGGACGTTCTTCAGATTGTGCTGAATCAGAGTATGAGCAGCTTGTGTGCTTGAGCGTGTAATTCTGTCAGAGCAGAGTCTTCTATATCAGATTCTCAATACTTATGCAGCGCAGTATCTTCAGAGTCTTCTGATGACTAAGCTTCTGAACTCTCAGAGTCTTCTATTCTTTAGAGGCTTATGCTTCAGAATCTTCAGTAGACAGTACTCAGATTCTTCTGGGAGCAGCATTCAGATCTTCATTTAAGATGCTCTTGAACCTTTGAAGCTTTTCATAATATCATTGTTCAGATCCAAATTTGCTCTTTTAAGAATATTTTCTTTAGTACCTGGAGCAAACAGTCTAGAACAAATTTAGAGTATATAATTCTCAAATACAAAATTCATAAGTGTTATCATCAAAACATAGAGATATTACTAAGAAACAATCTGTGTTCTTACACCATGATCTTTCAGGCGTTCAGGGCACACCTTTCTTATGTGACCCTCCTTCTTACAGTGATAACATCGAATACTAGATGTTTCGTCACTATAAGACTTTTGTTGACTTTTACCTTTCTTCTTGTCAAACTTACCATCCTTTTGCAAGAATTTTTCCTTAACGGCCAAACCTTCGCCCACCGTCGAAGGTTTATGCTCCTTTCGTTCGTTCAAGTTCTTAGAATACAAGTCTGATTGAACTTCTTCAAAGGTCAGGGACTCCCTTCCATACAAGAGAGTTTCTTTGAAGTGAGCATGTGTTCTGGGCAAAGCACACAGCAACAACAGTGCTTGATCTTCATCATCGATCTTCACATCAATATTTTCAAGATCAAGAATCAGCTTGTTGAACATATCCAACTGCTCAGCCAACACTTTGTCTTCACTCATCTTGAATGAATACAAAGCTTGCTTCAGGTAGAGTCGATTCACCAGAGATTTGGTCATGTACAAACTTTTAAGTTTCACCCATAATCCCGATGCTGTAGTCTCCTTTGATACCTGTCGAAGAACCTTATCACCAAGGCTCAACAATATTGCACTATGGGCTTTCTCAATCATGCCCGTCTTTTCTTTTTCCGTTAACGCAGCGTCCATGGCTGCCTCACCCTTCAACGCTTCCAAACAACCCTGTTGAACCAATAGGGCTTTCATCTTCAAGCGCCACAGACCGAAGTCGTTCACTCCGGTGAACTTTTCAATCTCATACTTTGTTGAAGGCATCTTTTCCACGCTCACCGCACCAATTTGTTGTGAATCGGATACCTTTAAACAAAGTATAAACAGTTTCTTAATAATCAAGAAACTCACAAGGGTTAGGGTTAACACAAAAAAAACAAGGTAAAACAACAAGGAACAACAAGGATTGGTTATTAAACTGTTATTCTTTCCTTTCTCTTAGAACAAGATTACAAGTATACAAGAATAAAAAAATAACCTCTCTCCCTTGAAATTAGGATTTTATCTTCCTATTTTTTCTTATTCCAAGATTGAGAAACTAGCATCCTATTTATAATAAAATAGCACACTAACCTAATGGGCTTTTTAACAATTACCCATTACAAGCCAACTTAGGGTACAAGCTAAATTAAACAATTGGGCTTACAAGCAAGGCCCAATTCAATATGCTAACAACCCTAGCAATATTAACTAATGCATGTTAGAACATACTTCCACTACAACACGCATTACTCGCAAACAGACTTCGACCATACTAGAGTTCGATCCAACATCTCACACTTCCTTTACTGAATCTACATCACTAACTTTCTCAAATTTGTCTGGATTACATATTGATGGAATAAAAAAAAAGTCTTGTAATCTTTCTTCTTCAAATCTTTGTGTGCAATCTTTTGTTCATCCATAGCATTCTCCCCAATTGGTATTACTTCATTCTTCACAAGTTTCTAAAGATTTTGATAACAGAAAATAACATTCATCTGAGTACAACAATTTTCATAATTCTTAACTTTTAAGATTGGAAGATTCGCTGAAAAATATCTGTTCGGATGATTCATTGTGATTCAATGTGTCCCAAAGATCACACATCCAGTGCTCTAGATACCAAATGTTAGGAAGACTCCAATCTTAAAGTTAACCGAATCAATCTTGATGAACAAGAATCAATCTTTCTGATTAATCACGTCTCTTGTTCTTCACCCTTTACTTAGGTAAAACAACCACTTCTTGGTTGTAAAATGATTTTACATTACACAGTGAATTGAAAGAAGAAAACAATACAAAAGAAATTAAGAAAAAGGAGAAATTCTAGAAGAAGATGACGAATGAATTACTGCACAAGATGCATTCAAGGTGTTTGCTAAATGTTTGTGATTTCTGAAACTACATAATACTTACTTACAAATGAAGTAGAACTCCTCTCTATTTTCACTCCAAATAATCATAAAATAACTAACTCAACTAAAACTAAGTTAATTTATTTCGACTCTGTCGACTCCTTCGACAACTGCATGCTTCGACAAACTATATTTGACTTTCTGTCAAATACAATTAACATAAACTCTATTCGACGCATACTATTTCAACACGCTTTAAAACACATTTCGACACCTGTCAAATTCAAACACATTATTTCGACTTCGACCTAAAGAATTACATATTTAACAATTTTCAACCACCTTAACTTGATATGTGAGAAAAAATTAACAATTTTTAAGAGCGTCCCAAATATCACAATTCATCTTTTAGATAAAAATTAAAATAGATTATTCATTTTAAAATATATTATTTTGAAAATTTTGTTTATTCAAAAACAAATAAATGGTGTTGTCCATAGTCTAGATAAGTCGTTCATATCTATGACTAATTTTCAGTTAATTTTTTGTGCCCGGAAAAACCAGTAACCTCCGCCCATTGAATGTCAGTAGATAGATGAAATTGAATGAATACAATGAAATTAATTACCAGTCGCAAAAACGGTTATAGAGTTCTGATCCAATCAATAATGAGTCTGAAAAGTACAACCTGTTTTAGGAAATGGTGAAACACCTCTAGTTAAATACTAGCACCACTTTTAAATCAACATGTACATCACATAGCTAATCAAAGATGGGAGAATCTGCACCACAAAGGTAGAGTATAATACTAACAAACTTTCTCTGCTAAATCACAAGCTTTAATGTTGCATTCAATTTCAATCACTGCAAAGTACTTTTACTTGATTTTGATATACAGGTATGCGGTTGTGACTGGATCAAACAAAGGAATTGGATTTGAGATAGTTAAGCAGTTAGCTGAAGCTGGTATCAAAGTGGTGCTTACAGCAAGAGATGAGAAAAGAGGTCTTCATGCATTGGAAACACTCAAAGCTTCTGGTTTATCTGATTTTGTTGTTTTTCATCCACTAGATGTTGCTGATGCTGCAAGTGTAGCTGCTCTTGCACATTTTGTCAAATCACAATTTGGAAAACTTGATATTCTGGTAACAAAAAAAATTGATTCTCCTTTCCTTGTTTTTATTGCATTACATGATATATGCATTTTCAGTAAGAAAAATTGTTCAATAATGCAGGTTAACAATGCGGGGATTAGTGGAACTGTGATTAATGACAAAGACTTGGCTACTGTGCTTATCTCTAACCCTGGAGTAAGTGGATTTTGTTAGGGGTTGAAAAACAGCTATAATGGGTTTGAGTATTCATGAATTGTCCTTTGCAGGCTTTATCAGAAGATGAAAAGAAAAAGGCGGTGACTCAGACATATGAGTTAGCTGAAGAATGCTTGAAAATAAATTATTATGGTACTAAAATAGCTTCTGAATTGCTTCTGCCACTGCTAAAGTTATCCGATTCGCCGAGAATTGTGAATGTATCGTCTACTCTAGGGAAGTTAGAGGTAAGTTGTTTTTCTCCTTGTGTTAATGAATCCTAAAGGTGTTTCATACAATTAGTGAAAGTAGAATAAAGTAAGAGTAAACTTGAATCTTTAATGTCTAGAGACATGTATATTATGTAATAAGGATAATATATCAGATGGAGGGTATTCAAATCACTAGAGGCAGACGGAGATCTAGAGAAACGATTAAGAAAGATTTAGAGATTAATGAATTTAATAGGGATATGATATATGTAATAGAATACTATGGTGTTAAGTGCCGTTTTTGAGGACATGCAAAACAGACTACTGCACAAGGCCCAAAATTTATCTCTGGTAAACCGTGTCTAAATAAGACTGCATAACATGTTTATCACGGTTATACTGTGGTTAATTAAGTCATCTATTTGTTTTTTCATGGTTAAACTACAACTAATCTACACAGGTCTTCCAAAAACATGAGATGACTCTGATGGTGTCGTTTGATCCATGTAACAGACTCCACTTAGTAGAAAAAAACTTGATTGTTGTTGTTGTTACTTATTCGTAAGGTTTTTTCACTATGTCTTAAGTTTTGGCTTGAATTTGAATGAGGTATTATTGCTTATTCATGTCGAATTCAGCGCATTCAAAATGAATGGACTAAAGAAGTCTTCAGTGAGGCTGATAACCTAACCGAAGAGAAAGTGGATGAAGTACTAAAGAATTTTCTCGAAGATTTCAAAACAGACGGGCCTAAACCTGGGGGTGCTTATGTCATATCTAAAGCTGCTATAAATGCTTATACAAGAATTGTTGCCAAGAAGTTTCCTACTATAAGCATCAATAGTGTTTGCCCTGGCTATGTCATCACAGACATAACTGCAAATACCGGTATCTTAACTGCTGAAGAAGGTGCTGCAAGTGTTGTCAAGTTAGCACTACTTCCCAATGGTAGTCCATCTGGCCAATTCTATAACAGGACTGAAGTGTCTTCCTTTTGAGGAATATTAGAATTTTCATTTAAGGACAAAATGTATTGCTGCTTTGTTGTTATTTTTGCATTTAGTATTGACAATACTATTGTTGTTGTTGTTTCTGTTGCATCAACTTTTCTATCCATAATTGTTATCTTATTGATGAATAACAAGTTTTCTATGTAATAGTTTAAAATATGATATAGTCAAATTCAATATCTTCTTTAATGGAATGTTGATCAGGTCATACATTACTTACCTTAAAGACGGCATATATATAAAGCCAAAACCCGACTGACGAATTTGCAAAATGACAAACATAACAAGCTGGCAGGAAAAGGGCTACATGCATAGTAGTAATATTTTAGTATATTATATGCTGTGATTCATTGTCTTTATTTTCATTGTTAAAAACACTACTCAAATTTCAAACTTCAAAGTTGAAATTAAAGATGGGAAGAACTGCAAAAAGGTAACATTAGAATCATGTTCTAAATCGTGCTTACGGTCACGGTTGCACTTTCATAGTGTATTAAAATGCGAATAAGTGTGGCTGAAACAGTTGCAATGCTGCTGTCAAGACCGCTAAAATCTTTATATGCGACCAAAATTGTAGATGCAACTGAAATTTAAAACTATGATTAGAATCATAATTTCTCATAGCATTAAATAATTGTTATATTGTTCATCATCCTTTTACTTTTTCCCTTTTTTTTCTTCTTCAAGTTTTGTTCCTTATAGTTTTTGGTTGAGTTTGTTAGGTATGCAGTAGTGACAGGCTCAAACAAAGGAATTGGGTTAGAAATAGTGAGGCAGTTAGCTTCATCTGGGATCAAAGTGGTGCTTACAGCAAGAGATGAGAAAAGAGGTCTTCAAGCATTGGAAAATCTCAAAGCATCTGGTTTATCTGATTTTGTTGTTTTTCATCAACTAGATGTTGCTGATGCTTCTAGTGTAACCTCTCTTGCACATTTTGTCAAATCCCAATTTGGAAAACTTGATATTCTGGTAACATCCAAAAATAGACGATTCTTATATCAAATTTGTATTTTAAGTTAAATAACGCACTTGAAATACGAAAAACCTTTCAAATTTTATTGTACTATCTGCAATGTATAGCTATGACAAATACGAGAAATCTTGATCGCAGACAATTGTGGTCCGCGAGCGAATCAATGACTTTTCATTTTGATATATACATAAAATTAACTAAAGTTGTTGCATGCAGGTTAACAACGCAGGGATTATTGGAACTATAATCAATAACAAAGAGTTATTTAATCTCGCTATCATCAACCGTGGGGTAAGTATTGTCCGTCTATTTGACAAAAGCCTATTTGTTGTAAAAAAACTTACACGATATTACTCTCTAGTTATCATTAGACAACGGTCGTGGAAATTATTCTTGTTTTGCGTTGTTAATAGCTTAGTATATCATCTTGCAGGCATTATCAACAGATAATAGGAGAAAGGCATTGACTCAAACGTACGAGTTAGCCGAAGAATGCTTGCAAACAAACTATTATGGTTCTAAACTAACTGCGGAATCACTTCTTCCTCTTCTTCAGTTATCCGATTCACCGAGAATTGTTAATGTGTCATCCACTTTGGGACAGTTAAAGGTAGTACACAATTCCTTCACCGTTGTCACATGATTTTCACAAGATCTTATTCTTATCTTTATTCATGTCAATTCTAGAGTATACCAAACGGATGCGCAAAGAGTATATTCAGTGATGGTGATAATCTATCAGAAGAGAAAGTGGATAAAGTATTGAAGAAATTTCTGAAAGATTTCAAAGAAGGTTCATTAGATGAAGAGAATGGCTGGCCTAAGACTTTGGGTGCCTATATCGTTTCTAAAGCTGCTATGAATGCTTATACAAGAATTCTTTCCAAGAAGTTTCCTACTTTAAGCATCAATAGTGTTTGTCCTGGTTATGTCGTAACCGATATAACTGCCAATACCGGTTTGTTATCGGTTGAAGAAGGTGCTGCTAGTGTTGTGAGGCTAGCACTGCTTCCTAATGGTAGTCCATCCGGCTTCTTCTTTTACAGGAGTGAAGTGTCTTCCTTTTGATTAGTACTCAAAATTTATGTTTTGTTGGATAATCAGATTAATTAAGCGCTTATATCATGAGCGCTAATGATATGTGTACTTACTGATAAGCTATTTTTATCAAAAAAATTAAATTAAGTCACATAGATTTCATATACATATGAATTTGTCATCAATCACTCAAATCCTTATTGCCTTTGTCCATGCAAAAACCTATGAGCTAAACTCATCAATCCTCAATTGAACGACAACAGATATGATACATGGCGCCGAAACATGAAGTGTTTTCTTCTCTACAAAAACAAAACCAAGCTCATTAGCAGCAAAATCACGGCTCCTACGGAATGATGTAACTGAATTATTGTTTCTTGGATCAATGCTACACTTTGACCAAAACAATTTCTCAGTGTTTCAAACATTGAAAACAAACAAATTCTTTGGATCTAGCTCAAGAACATATTCTCCAGAAGCGACCTTTGCATGTTTGATCTTGTTTCAACAATTACATTTGATTCAATAAGGTGATAAATATGTTAGTTCTTTCACTCCGATGTTCATATCAACAATGCTGCTATATCAGACTTATTTATATTGGGTGACTGACACCAATGAAACCGACCATATTTGCAATTCTTTGAATCCTTTCCACTCTTTTTGTTATCAAAATAAATATGTCCAAAGTGCGTGAGACACTTTTAGCGAGAAAAGAAAGAATAAGGAAATAAAGATGAATATTATTAAATAAATAAAACTGAATTACAAAGTGTCTATTTATATACATCTAAGTGACTTAACTATTAAGTAAAATAACAAATCCTAAATTCTTATTATCTTTGGGTTTAGGCCATACAACTCAACTTGGACTATATCTAATATCTCAATATATCCTCCTATAATCTAAGTTGTCGAAACACACTAATTATTTTCAATCTGAACTATTCCCAATTTCTTTCTCAATGTTAGGAACACGTCGATCTTCAATCATTTGGTAAAAATATCGGCCAATTGTGCTTCGCTTGATCAATGACTTACTTCAAGTTCACCTCTATTCACCTTCTCCCTTAAGAAGTGAAATCTAGTTTTGATGTGCTTACTTCTTCCATGCAAAACTAGATTCTTTGCCAGATTTATGGGTGATTTGTTGTTGATCTGCAGTACTAGAAGTTTCTTCACTTCGACTTCAATCTCTTTCAGCACATATCTGACCCAAATTGCTTGACACGCATCATAAGATCCTGTTATATATATATATATATATATATATATATATATATATATATATATATATATATATATATATATATATATATATATATATATATATATATATATATATATATATATATATATATATATATATATATATATATATATATATATATATATATATATATATATATATATATATATATATATATATATATATTCAGCCTCACATGATGATAATGCCACCACAGGTTGCTTTCTTGAGCACCATGAGATCGGGGCACCAAATAATTGAAAGAAATATTCAGTAGTGCTTTTTCGATCTTCCATATCTCCACACCAATTAGCATCTAAATAATAAGTAACCATAGCTTCTTTTCTTTCAGAGTTTCGTCGAAATAAAATTTTATAGTTTGTCGATCCTTTTAAGTATCTCAGAATTTTTCTTGCACCCTTCATGTGTGACACCATTGGTTAACTCATATATCTGCTAACTAATTCGACTGAAAAACATATATCAGGTCAACTATTGCACACATATCTCAGAGATCCGACAATTTGTTTGAACAAAGTTGTATCAACTTTGTCTTCCTCTCTATGCTTCTCCAACTTCATGTTTGGTTCGATAGGCGAAGATGCAGGAGTTGGATCATCTATTTTCAATCTCTTGAGTATCTCTTTGACATACTTTCTTTGATGTAACACCATACCTTACTTCGAAATTTGAAATTTCATTTCTAGGAAGTACGACAACTTTTCCATATTTGACATTTCAAATTCCATTTTCATCAGCTCTTTGAACTTCGACAAGTTCCCCAAGCTACTTCCAGTTACTAACAAGCCATCGACATATAAGCAGATGATTTTTATATCTTGTGCCACAACCTGAACATAGACATCATACTCAGATTTGCATTTACGAATCCCAATTCGACCAAGTATGAGTCAATCTTATGGTTTCATGTCGTAGGTGCCTGCTTGAGACCACAAAGCGCTTTGTGCAACTTGTATACTTTCCTTGCTTCCTCCTGAATCACAAAATCAGGAGGTTGTGTGACAAACACCTCTTCATCTAAAGGTCCATTCAAAAATGTAGATTTCACATCTAAGTGAAATATCGACCAACCTTAATTGCATGCCAAGGCTACCACTAGTCGAACTATTTTCAATATTGAGTCAGGTGTAAATACTTCAGAATAGTTGAGTCCTGCTCTCTGAAGAAATCCTTGAGCTACCAATCTCGCCTTATGTCTTGATATTGACCCATCAACATTGTGCTTCAACTTGAACACCCACTTCACTTCAATAGCTTTTGTATGTGCTGACAATTCTAACAACTCCCATGTGTTGTTTCTTTCGATTGCTTGTAACTCTACGACCATAGAAGACTTCCATTGTTTACCTTTGAAGGCTTCGTTATAACTTATTGGTTCAACACTTGCAAGTAAAGCAAAACAAACTAGGTCTTCATCTGTTGTGACTTCATCATCACCAACCACTTCATAGTCTTGAAGTCTTGCTGGACGAGATCTAGTTCTTTAAGGTCTATGGCTTATGTCAGCCATATCCTTTTCGACTTTGATTGTGTCAGGAATGTCAACAACTGCTTTGATTTCAACTAGAATATCAACAATATCTTCGACTTCAACATCATTACTTGCTTCGTCGAAATCATAGCTCATCAATGGCTTGTCAATTGCATTACTAGAAATCCAATCTCATGCAGAATTTTCATCAATCATAATATCTCAACTCATCAAAATCTTCTGATTAATTGGATTGAACAACCTGTATGTTCCAGTCTTATGATATCCTATCAGAATCATAGGTTCACTCTTATTATCAAGCTTCCTTCTCCTAGCATCAGGAATATGCTTGTAGAAAATAGAGCCAAACACCTTCAGATGAATCACTGATTGTTGTTTGCCACTCCACACTTCTTCATGAACCTTTTTCTTCAGCTTCTTGGTAGGGCACCTATTCAGAATATAAGCAGCAGTCGAAATAGCTTCACCCCATAAGGACTTTGGCAATTTTTTCTGCTTCAAAATGCATCTTGCCATGTCCACTATGGTCCTGTTTCTTCTTTATGATATTCTATTATGTTGAGGAGTATAAGGAGCAGTTATCTCATGATCAATACCATGTTCTGCACATAATGCTTCAAATATTTTGGATGTGTATTCGTCACCTCCATCTGTTTGCAGAAATTTTATCTTCTTTTCACTCTGATTTTTGACAAGCATCTTGAATCTCTTAAAGATTTCAAATAATTCGTCCTTTCTCTTGATCACATATATTCATAGCTTTCGACTAAACTCATCGACAAACGAAACAAAATACCTATTTCCACCAATGGCATGCTCCTTAAAAGGAACACATGCATCTGAATGTACAACTTCAAGTATGCAGGATGATCTCATTGGCATAGTCCTAATGAAAGACTTCCTGTTCTGATTTCAGACTAGACAACCTTCACAAAGTTTTTCAGGCCTCTCAAGACTTTGTATACCGGTTACCATATCTTGGGTGATTAGTTGATTGAGCAACCTAAAGTTTAGATGACTAAACCACAGATGGCACAACCAACTATTCTTGCGGTCGACAACTGTTTTTAGACATTGTACCTTAGTCAAACTAATCACAGTCTTAAATGTCTTATTCTTCGACAGAGGAGATTTGAATACCAAGTTATTTTGGATATCGAAAAGTTATAAGGATCCATCTTTCATAACCACTGAGAACCCCTTTTCGACCATTTTTCTAACACTTAGCAGATTGCACTTTATTCCAGAGACATAGAGTATATCTTTGATCACCCTTTGAATAACTATGTTACCAGTACCTTTTGCTTGCAACGAGCTATTATCAGAAAGTTTGACATTGCTCTTCTTCGACTCGTCAAAATCTACTAACCATATTTTTCAACCAGTCATGTGATTCGAGCATCCTGAGTCGAGGAACCAGATCTTAGATTCGACATGGTCATCTCAACTGCAGCCATAACCACCATATTATCATAATCATTTTAATCTTGACGTGCAAGGTTCTCTCATTCGTCCTTGCCTTTTGTCGATCCCTTGTCTTTCCTGTACCAACAATGATTGACCAAGTGTCCACACTTTTTCACAATTATAGAACTGCACACTTTTTTTTCTCTACTTTGTCTTTCTGATAGGAATTTCCTTCTCCTCTTTTCGAGGATTCAGAAGTTCTATCGTCGATCTTATTCTTGTGAGGATTAGACAAGACTTCTTGCCATGAGTCTTGTCGATTTTTCCTTTGAACTTGTTGGAACCATCATTCTTCTTCCACGATTGAGCATGCAGTGCTTGTATCGAGTCTTGAATTCCTTTCCTTTCGAAAATCCTAATCTCGTGCGCCTCCAACGAACCAACCAAATCTTCCAATTTTAGGGTTTCAAGATTTTTGGATTCTTGAATAGCTACGATAACGTGATCAAAGTGAGAGGTCAACGTACATATTACCTTCTCAACTATTATCTTTTCAGTTAGGGTTTCACCATAACCCTTCATGAGACGGACGAGTTTCCGCACCTTCTACACATAGCTTGAAATCTTTCTGTCTTCTCCCATCGACAACAATTCATATTGTCGTCACAAAGTTTGCAACTTGAAAACCTTGATTTTCTCGTCTCCTTCATAGTAATTAACAAAAATATCCCATGCCTCCTTCGTTAATTCAGCATGAGCGATTCTGTCAAAATTAGCTGCATCAACCTCCGATTCCATGTAAAACGTCGCCTTGCAATCCTTCTTATTGGCATCCTTGTGAGCGGTTCTCTGTGTGTCGGT